CAGCGGGAGAAGGAAATGGGCCGGAAGGAAGGAGAGGCCTGAATCTGAGGAACCAGAGGTTGCTCTTCTCTGTACCCGAAGTGATGCTCCAATGGTTGCTGATCTGAACCAACTGTTAGCACACTTTCGCCCTGGAAGGTTCTCTGGGGGTACTTTCAGAGCCTCCTTCCCTTTCCTTTGCTGTGCAGTAGTTTGTTTAGTTTGGTGTAGTTCCACATGTTCATTTTTGCTTTTATTGCCTGTACTTTTGGTGTCATGTCCAAAAACTCATTGGCAAGACCAGCGTCAAGGAAATTTTCCCCAATGCTTTTTTTTCCTTCTAGAAGTTGTATAGCTTCAGGATTTACATTTAAGTTTTAATCCATTTCAAGTGAATTTTTAGGAGTGGTGCAAAATAGGGGTCCAGTTTCATTCTCCTGCACGTGGGTGTCCAGCCTCCCAGCACCACGTGTTGAAGAGCCTCTCTTTGACCTGCTGCCTGCTCTTAGTGCCTTTGTCAAAGATTTTAATCATACTGAGTGGAGGCTTTTTCTGGGCTCTCTAGTCTGTTCCATTGGTCTGTGCACCAGAGAGGTCTGTCGTATACTTTGAAATCAGGAAGTGCGACACCTCTAGTTTTGCTCTTCTTTCTCAAAATTGTTTTGGCCACGCAAGGTCTTTTGTCGTTCCATGAGCACTTCAGGATTGTTTTTTCTATTTTGTGAAAAAATGCTTTCGGAATTTTGATAGAGACTGTGTTGAATTTGTAGATTGCTTTGAGAAGAATGGATATTTTAAGAATCTTTATCTTCTAAACCAAGAACACAGACTAGCTTTTCATCTAATTGTGTTTTCCTCAGTTTCCTCCATCAATGTCTTACCGTTTCCAGTGTTCCGGTCTTTCACCTTCTTGGTTAAATTTATCCCTAAGTATTTTATTGCTTTGCTGCTATTGTAAATGAGACTGATTTTTTAATTTCTCTTTCAGAGAGTTTGTTGTTAGTGTATAGAAATGAAAGTTATTTTTACTACTTAGCCATAAAAAACGACAACCTAATGCCATTTGCAGCAACATGGATGCTCCTGGAGAAAGTCATTCTAAGGGAAGTAAGCCAGAAAGAGAAAGAAAAATGCCATATGAGATCGCTCATATGTGGACTCTAAAAAAAAACAAAAACAAACAAACAAAGCATAAATACAAAACAGAAACAGACTCACAGACATAGAATACAAAGTTGTGGTTGCCAAGGGGGCGGAGGGTGGGAAGGGATAGACAGGATTTCAAAACTGTAGAATAGATAAACATGATTATACTGTATAGCACAGGGAAATACATACAAGATCCTATGGTAGCTCACAGAGAAAAAAATGTGACAATAAATATATGTATGTTCATGTATAACTGAAAAATTGTGCTCTACACTGGAATTTGACACAACATTGTAAAATGATTATAAATCAATAAAAAATGTTAAAAAAAAAGAAATGAAAGTTATTTTTGTATGCTGATTTTGCATTCTGTAACTTTAGTGGATTTGTGTATTAGTTCTAACAGTTTTTTGGTGAAGCTTTTAGAATTTTGCATATATACGATCATGTCATCTGCAAACAGACAATTTTATTTCTTCCTTTCTGATTTGGACGCCTTTTATTTCTTTTTCCCGCCTAATTGCTCTGGCTAGGACCCTTGGTATTATATTAAATATAAGGGGCAAAAGTGGGCCTCTGTGTCTTATTCCTGACCTTGGAGGAACAGCTTTCAGCTTTACACCATTGAGCACACCATTGTGGGCGTTTCATATACGAACTTTTTAATGTACATTTCTTCTCTACCTAATTTTTGAGAGTTTTGTTTTTGAGTTTGTCAGATGCTTTAGATGCTTTTTATGCGTCTGTTGAGATGATCACAAGATTTTTGTTCTTTATTCTGTTAATGTGGTGTATCACCCTTATCAACTTGTATATATTGAACCATCCTCGCATCTCAGGGATAAATCCCAGTTAATCATGGTGTATGTTTAATGTGCTGTTGAATTTGATTTGCTAGTATTTTGTTGAGGATTTTCGCACCTATGTGTGTAAGGCATATTGGCTTGTAATTTTCTTTTCCCATAGTGAGCCTTGACTGACTTTAATATCCAGTAATGCTGGCCTCATAAAGTGAGTTTGGAAGTATTTCCTTCCCTTCAACTTTTTGGAAGAGTTTGAGAAGGATTTGTGTCGATTCTTCTTTTAATGTAGAATGTAAATAATTAAATCATTTCCCACATTCCCTTTTTGTTCTCTTGGGTCCCCTGCTTTTATACGTTGCCATCCTTTCCCCAGACCGTTCCTATCCAGTCAAATCTTTGTGGTCCTATACAACTTCTTGACTCTCTCCACACGCTAGCTGTGGCTCAGCCCCTAGCATCTGTCGCCTGGACTCCTGCAGCAGCCTTTTGGTAGTTTCTTTATCCCAGGGGTCATCCTCTTCCCCAATTTCCCTGACATATGACTGTTGGACTAATATTCTTGATATCTAGATTGGGTTGCCTCGATCTCTTACTCCAGAACATTCAAATGTCTCCCTGTTACTTACAGAATAAAACCAATACTCTGCAACCCAGTGCTCCCTCTTCTATAAAAGGATCTTAGATTCTTTCCACACAACAAAACTGGTGAGTTTTGACTGTATGCCAGACCCTCTTCCATGTGTTTGGGGTCCATCATGAAACAAAACAGCTACACACACACCAAACCCCCACTCTTTGGGGCTTAAGGTCTCCTTCACTCCAGGCAAAATGTTCACGCAGGGCCTAGCCTTTGCTCACATCTTTAATTCTTTCTGGAATATTCTTTTGGTTACTCCTTTATGATCGTGGTTCTCAGCCAGGATGGTTTTTCCCTCTATAGGGGACATTGGGCCGTGTCTTGAGACATTCGTGGTTGTCCCAGCAGATGGGGTCCTGCTGGCTCCTCGGGGGTAGAAGCCTGGGAGGCTGTTAAACATCCTACAATGTGCAGGGCGGTCCCCACAAGAGAGAACTGTCTGGTCCAAGACGTCAGCACAGCCAAGTATGATAAACTGTGGTCTAGAGTCAAGTTACTCCCAGCCTTCACGCCAGCTCAAATTTCACCTCCGCAGAACACCCACAGTTCCTTCTCTCGCTCCCGTTTGCTCTAAGCCACCTGAGTTCCCAGCTCCCCTGTGTACAGATCTTGGTGGCACTCCACTTTTCATAGGCTGTAGAAGTCCACGAGGATGGGTTTATACCTGATTCACCTGCGTTCTCAGGGGCTAGCCTGGCGCCTAGTCCACAGGAAAGGGACACTCAGGAGTTTGTGAGTGGGAAATACACGCGAGTGGGAAATTCCCAACATCCGACCCTTTTCCTGGACTCCAGGTCCTAGGAATCAGGCAGACAGGAAGTTCTCCTTCCAGAGGGGCATCTGCCCGGCCCCTTCCAGCCGCACCTGGAGGAGACTCAAGTGGCACCAAGCCACAGGAAAGACTCCACGGGCCTGGAGGGAAGGCGCAGCGGAGGAAGAGACTAAACGAACACGGCAGGAAGGATGCCTCCCTGTGCAGACAGAGGTGCCCCGCGAGAACACTGAGATCAGGAAGCACGTTTGGTTGAATGGGAGCTTGACCGGTTTTCTAAGTGGGTTAGGGCAGCAGGTAACCTCAGCTGCCCTCGAAGTCCCAGACCTCGCAGTGCAGAAACCGGGGCGCCGTGCAGCCACCCCCAGGGACTGGCTCCCAGCCCACGGCCCTGCGCCATCCCTGAGCCAGGTCCCAGCAGACCGCGTGCCGGCCACCACCCGGTAAGTCGGCTCTTCCTGCCCACGTCCTTGAGGTGTGCAGGAGGCTGAGTGTCCGCACAGGCCTAGAAAACTGCAGAATGCAGAGAAACAGCCTCGGTTGCCTCGGGCCCCCCGAACCCAGAGTGCCCGTCCCGCCACTCCCCACGAGCGCTCAGGGCCGGGAGCTCAGCCAGGCACTGCTTCCGTCTGCCTGGCGGCTGAAGTGACAAGAAGGTCTGCAGAGTCCCAGCGCCGAATCCCTGCAAAGAGGCACAGGGGAGCCTGGGGCTTCTGCAGAAGGACTGACTGACATCAGGCGGAGAAGGAATGAAAAGAAACAGCTCAAAGCTGCAGTCAGAGCCCCAGACCACAGAGCATCTGGCCAGCCCTCCAGTCCGCCTGCCCACCTGGGAGGAGCTGTCACTCAGCCAGGCGAACACAGAATGGACCCCACAGTCCACAAAGCAGCGTACCCAGCCCGCCGGGCTCACCCTCCCATCCACGGCTCCTCCTCTGTCTCCACGTGCTGTCATCCGCGCTCCGTCGTGGGCTGGATGCTGGGAGAGGGTGGGACAGCAAGAGGCCTGCTGCTGTCTTTCCCTTGCCCAGATCCGCGTCCCCGGAGGCCTGAGCAGAGGGCAGGGCATGCTGTGAGTCCAGGGAGGGAGGGCTGGTGAGGGGCCCCAGGCTCCAACACTACGCTCTAAACCGGCCTCAGACAGAAGTGCTGTAAAAGCCACAAACACAAGCCGCACATGTAATTTCACGTTTTCTAGTAGCCACGCTAAAAACACAGACCATGGCATTAAATTAACTTCAGTAAAATATTTCATTTAACCCAATGTATCCAAAACAGTATCGTTTTAAACATGTACCCAATATCAGTAATATTATCCATAAAGTATGCAGTTCACATTCTTTTTTTCAGACTAAGTCTTTGAAATTCAGCATGCTTTTTACCCTTACATCATATCTCACTTTGAACCAGCCACATTTCACTGCACACCTACACTGCAGATCTAGAATAATCCAGCACCTTCACAAGGCGCCAACTGGCACTAATGAATCGTGAATACACACCAGGGCTGGGGTGGGGTGGGTTTAAATAGCACATGAAATATCATGAGATGGGAATTTTTTTTATTTACTAGAACCCCCCGCCCCCGAGGGGAACACACACCACACGAGGTTGGGAGAAACACTTTGGAAAGCTCGCTGTGACCAGGATGAGTGTAGAAGCTGGAGGTGGGAAACCCCATGGAGAGTGTCAGGGTCACAACAGACTGAGGACTGAACTCAAGCCTTTCAGGGACTTCACTGACACCCGAAACTGAAGGCAACCAAGACAGAGGACACAGGGAGAGCTGACCGCAGTGACTCATTTTATTATTGGAAAAACTGTAACAACTTCGATGTCTAATGAGAGAGCACTGGGGAAACTGTGAACCACCCACATGAAAGAATGTATCGTCATGATGAAAATACTATTTAGAAACACGGGATATACAGAATACAGATGTGTTAAGTGGGAGAGAAAAGCAGGGCTGAGTGTAACTGCTTGTCCAAGCTGATCTGTATTTAACACGTGCAAAGAAAAAAATGTGCCAACTGTCGCCACTGTTTGTTACTAGGAAGTAGCATTGTGGATGATTTTTCTGGACTTTCCAATGTTTTCTGATGAACACCTGTTACCTCCAGATCTAAGAGGAAGGGCTGGAGTGAAAAACAAAATCCAATGACTCACTTGCCAGAATTCTCCAACTTGTGTTAAGTGCTTAGTCATGCGTGTGTGTTTGCAGTGTGTGTGTCCGTGCAGGTACGCAAGCGTGCGTGTGCATGTGTGTACACGGGTGTATGCGTGTCTTCCTGAGCCGGTTCCTGAGCCCGATCCCAGCTAATGCTCTGCAGATCTGGAGAGACACAACCTTCCCCAACTCGAACACAAGTTATTTCCTTGGATTTTGTTAACTGGCTGAAATAGCCTTTCTGTAGCCCTTCTGGGCTCATTTCTAACCCCCAGATCCGCAACTGTTTGTTGAGAGATCATGTCTCTTATGAGCATTTCCAGCTAAGTGTAGAAATGGTTTTCCCCTACGTTTTATGTGTAAATAAGACAATAAGTCACCTCTGATCTCCATGTTCTCACCTGGTGGCAAAGAACCCGAGGCAACCACGCAGCCGAAGACTTAGCCACATCGCCATCCTGCTGTCTGCTCACAACCAGGCTGGCCGCCCAGCTTTTCAGAGGGTCATGTTTCAATTGCCTGGTTAAGAGGGAGAAAGAGAGTTGACAGTAACTTGAAAGTAGAAATTTTAAACTGTTCAGGAAAAAAAAATCCCCAAGTAATGATAAAAAAGCATTTAATCATTACATATTTACAGCTGCAACACACTCAGCTAAGAGAAATACGCAAAGAAGAAAGTTTATAAGGAAAACCATATACTGTGGGAAACCTCTTTCCAGCAATGCAGCGGGCTGGCCACTGCGAGCGACCCAACCAGATAGAACACTTTAAATCCTGGAGGAGGAACCTTTTACAGTCTGTTTTGAATATTAAGCTTGTGTAAAAGTATGTCAACCTCCAAAGTGAAGAGAGACCAGGAACTCTGGAAGTGCCAAAGCCAGCATCCGGCCTGGAAAATTCTGGCAAAACCTGGCTTCCTGTGTGTTTTAATGACTTCCCCAGGTACAGGGGCAGAAGGGAAAGCCTGGAGCGCAGCCAGGGCGGAAGGCAAGAGGGGTTCTTACAAGAAGAGGGGACTCCAGAGGCCTCTGCCTGCAGGGGGCCCCACCGAGCAGAGGGGAGCAGCAACGAAACCGGCCATCTCAGTTTTAGGGCGGGGAGGAGTCAAGTTAAAGTACTCCCCGGGGAATTATTAACCACAGGTTGGACTTTACGTGGACTTGGGTTCCTGTTACCTATGAATCTGTAAAACTTCAGAAGGAAAATTTACCGCGAGGCGGCCATGGGTTGACAGGCCTCCAAGAGGACTGAGGGGGGAAGACAAGTCCTCAGCTTCAATCCAGGCCTCAGGGAATCTCCACAGATACATTTCTAATAAAATAAGTAGTTCACACAAAAAAAAACCCACAGGAAAATGAGGTGCATGCTAATGCCTTGAAGTGATGATTTAGTTGTCTGGACAAAGCCCCCCAGTGAAAAACAGTTAAAAATCTGGCTTAAAAAACACCAGCAGAGCTATACATAAAACTGGATTTTTAAAAAAACTTTTCTTCTGTACAGCACAGGGAACTATATTCAATATCTCATAATAACCTTTAATGGAAATGAATATGAAAATGAATACATGTATGTACAGGCATGGCTGGGACATTGCGCTGCACACCAGAAATTGACACACTGTAACTGACTGTACGTCCATTTTAAAAAATTTAAAAATAAATAAATTTTAAAAATAAAATAATCAATTAGAAAAAAAAATTGGCAGAATCTCTTGCGAACAACACTGAATTCATTAGAAAAAAAAAATCCTCCCCCCTAAGGTGTTTTTGAGAAAGAAAACGGGAGTGAAGACACAAGGAGGTGCAATAACAGGGATGTAAGGGGCTCCCAGGGTGCCCAAGTGAGGACGGTCAGAGGCCGCAGACATAAGGGGTGGCAGCTCCCGGGAGATTTTACTCTTCTGTCAGTATTTGGTAAATTAAGGGGAAAAAACCAAAGATACAGAATTCTAGAACAGCACAATAAATATGCTTGCCAAATAGGCAGCACATTACATTCAAACACACATGAAGCATCTATGAACATTTATCACATGCTAGACTTCAATGCATGTCAAAGAACTGGTATCATACAGACCAAATTTAATGATCACAATGTACTCAAATTACGAATGAATAACGTGAACATGATGCAATTACATGCTGCTTACAAATTTGGAAGTAAAAGGATGGAAAAAATATACCATGAGGACCCTCACTAAAGGGCAGCTGCAGAGGCTCATGTTAATGTTAGACACAGTAGCATTTACGACAAGAGGTGTCAATCACTAGATGAAGAGGAATATTTCATAATGATAAAAGGATCAGTTCAACAGGACGACACAGAAATCACGCACCGTGTACATGCATCTAATACTTAGCTGCAGATAAAAACAGCAAGCCACAGAGCTAAAAAGACAAACGGGTTCTCTCTGAATCCCAACTGCACATTTACTTTTCGTAAGTTTAATGGATTTACAGAGCAAACACACCTAGCTCAAAAAAAAAATTACCTGCCCCACAAGAGCTCCTTTCAACTCCTTCCCAGCCAACTCTCCCTTCTTTGACTGTCTGAAAATAGACTTTATTTCTTAGAGCAGTTTTAGGTTTATAGCAAAGCTGAAACAAAGTAAAGGGATTTCTCATATATCCCCCTGCTGCACACAAGCAAAGCCTCCCATATCATCAACGTCCCGCACCGGAGGGGAACACCCGTTACAACTGACAATGCCACTGATGCGTCACCATCCCCCAAAGCCCACTGCCTCCATCAGAGGTCACCCTCGGTGCTGCACAGTCTATGGTCTGGACAAACGTGTAGTGACAAGTACCATTTACAGAGCACCATACAGAGCAGTTCCACCGTCCCCCAGGCCCCCTGTGTTCTCCCCCTTCATCCTGCCTCCCCTCCAATGCCCGGCAATCACTGATCTTCTTCCCGCTCCAGAGTTTTTTGCCTTTCCCAGAGTGTCGTGTAGTTGGAATCATACTGTATGTAGCCGTTTTAGATTGGCTTCTTTCACTTAGTAAAATGTATTTAAGTTTCCCCCAAGTCTTTCATGGCTTCATAGTTCATTTATATTTAGCACTGAGTACTACCCCATTCTCTGCCTGGACCACAGTTTACTTACCATTCGCCCACTGAAAGACATCTTGGTTGCGTCCAAGTTTTGACAATTATGAATAAAGCTGCTGTAAACATTCACGTGCAGGGATTTGTGTCGAATAATTGGAGATTTTAACACATCTGTCTCAGTACCTGATAGACCAGGAAGGTGGAAATGTCAGCAAAAACACAGTAGATTTAAACAACATAATTAACCACCTTGACCTAATTGACTTACATAGCACACAAAATCCAAGAAATAGAGACTATGGATTCTTTTCAAGAGCGTGTGGAACATTGATCAAGACGGACTATACGCTAGACCATAAAGCAAGTCTCAACAAATTTCGAAGGACTGAAATCACACAAAGTATTGAATTAAACTAGAAATCAGTGGGTTTATTTTTTGTAAGGTCATTAGAAGATACCCAGAAAATGGCCAAGGGATCATAACTTTTTTGAAGGATGAACACCTTCAGTCTCCTTTTATTCTTGTTTTCTTTCGAGTCTACAGACATATTTACACACATACACCTTTATAGGCCACTGACTTTTGTCCCCAGGGATGCCACGTTTCAATAACATCTCCATTCCTTCCTGCAGATCAGGACGTTATCCTACATCAGACCACAAAGCCGATTCGACCTCAGGTCTCTGCATCCCAAAAGGAGCTGCAGAGCAAAGGCTGTCCTTTAGAAGAGTTGGGTGGACATGGCCTGGGCCGTTGTCCCCTGCTTTGTCTCCATCACTGGCTGGGGGTAGCCCTGAGAAGAACCAGCGGTCAGCTATCCCTGATTGGTTCAGACATCGCCCGAAGATTTCCCCATGAAGAGCATCACCTTGGCTTGAAACTGGAGCAGACCTGAGGGAGGTGACTGCCAGAGGCTGATGGCAGGGGGGGGGCGGCTTTTTCTTGAAGGCTTGTCTGTGCCTGCCACAGCCCATACTAGAAAAGAAGAAAGGCTGAAACATCAAAAATATCCACATCAAGAAGCTATGAAAAAATAACCTACGAGTCCACTGATAGAGGCATAAGTGAAGAAAAGATGATGTGGTTTTATACCTGTGTGTGTGTGTGTGTGTGTGTCTGAGTGCGTGCGCACAGACACACACACACAGTGCAATATTACTCAGCCATAAAAAGGAAGGAAGTCTTGCCATTTGCAACAACATGGAAGGACTTTGAAGGCATTATGCTAAGTGAAACAAGTCAGATAGAGAAAAACCAATACTGTATGATCTCACTTATATGTGGAATCTAAAACACAAAAACAAAACCAGAGCTCACAGATACAGAGAACAGACTGGTGGTTTCCAGAGGCGAAGGTGGGGAGAGAAGTGGGGAGAGGCAGTCAGAAGGTACAAACTTCCAGTCATAAAACGGGTAAGGCATGGAACTATAATGCACAGCATGGTGGCTACAGTAATAATGCTGTATTGCATGCTTCACAGTTGCTTAGACTGTAAATCTTAAAAGTCACAGGAAAAAATACTTTTTTAACCATTCATGATGCCGGATGCTAACTAGGCTCACTGTGGTGATCACTTCACAATGAATTCAAACAGCAGATCATGATGTCGTACCCCTGAAACTGAAGTTATATCTCAATTCTACCACAATTAGAAACGAAAAAGAAGCTAAGCAATGAACTAGAAAGCAGTTGAAAAGAGAGAAAACCCACAAAGTCAAAAGCTGGTTCTTCGCAAAGACTGATAAAATTGACACCACCCCACCCCAGTGAGACTTGCCAAGAAAAAGAAAAACAAAGAAAGGGAACATAAACTGACAATATCAAGATTCAGTGGGTGGGGGGGTCACAGCTCAGCGGCAGAGCATGTGATTTGCTTGCAGGAGGTCCTGGGTTCAGTCCCCGTTACCTCCATTTAAATAAATAAATCAACCGAATTACCTGCCCCCTACAAAGTCTGTTTTAAATAACTTTTTAAAAAATTCAATATGTATTAAAAAGGTAATAAAAGGATATTATGAAGAATTTTATGCCAATACATTGGGCAGTGTAGACGAAAAGGACAAATTCCTCAAAAAGCACAACTTAGTGAAACTGTCACAAGAAACAGAAAATTTAAGGAGCCCTAGATCCGTAAATAGTAATTGAATCCATAATTTAAAACCTTTCCACGAAGAAAACTCTAGTCCCAGAAGGCATCACTGGTAAATTCTTCCTCACATTGAAGAGAGAATTCATACCTCTCTTAAGGCAAACCCTTAGAAAACAGGGAATGAGGGAATACGTCCCAACTGGTTTTATGAGGCCCTGGTATCATAACCTGCCAAATATATTATAAGAAAGTAACATTATAGACTAATTTCTGTCAGCCTAAGATGTAAAACTTCAAAACCTAAATAGAAACAAATCAAATCCAGCAAGTGCAGTTTATCCCAGGAATGCAAGATTGAATTAACATTCAAAAATCAATCAATGCAATTCACCACGTTAACAGAACAAAGGACACACATACAATCATCTCAATAGATTCAGAAAAGCTATTTGATGAACTTCATACTCATTCATAACAATAACATTATTTTAAAAAAAAAAAACCTTAGCGAACTAGAAGGAGATTTCCTCAGTCTAATGAAGGGAAGATCCAAAAACCTGCACCAATGTTATACACAAGGCTGAAATACTGAACACTCTCCCCAAGGACTTCCAGACGGAACCAGACACGGACGACTCCTTCCAACTCTGCATTGGTGGTGTTAGTCTCTGTAATCTGACCAGAAAAATACGCAAGGCATAACATTTCTGTATAAATAAATAAATAAATAACTTTTTTTTTAAATTTTAAAAAGATAAAACTCTCATTTGAAAATAATGGTTGTGTACATAAAATATTCAGAACCATTCACAAACTATCAGACTCAATGGCTGAATTTAGCAAGGCTATTTGGCACATAGCACACAGAAACCAAACCACACATTCTAGAAGCTGGCTCAGTCTTCCGGGCCCTTGGCAACTTACTTTCTCCATCCTAGTGCAGATGGGAGGGTGAGGGTGCTCCCGGAAGTTGGGAGTGGGGCTTCTGTTTAGGGAAATAAATCTTTGGAGGGTTATTGGTTATGAACGGTGAGACCCCAGGTACTGGCTGCAATGGGAGGTCCAGGAAAAGGGAACCAAAGTTCTGGTTATAATAACAGAAAAGGCCAGTCCCTGGAATGTGGATGATGATCTAATTTTAAATGACTTTCAACTCCCACTGGAAAAGGACAAAGGAGGAAGTAAAAAGGGCCCAGGCTGGGAAAGGGGATTTCCGAAATATGGTGAGAGGCGGGGCCGGGGGAGCATTCTGAGCTGTTTCCTGTTTCATATCTTCATTCCTCTCTGTTATCTGCTAACGGTCTCAGCAAACATTCATTAACAGCCGGAGTAGTGCCAGATGTATTTTAGCACTTTCTTAGGAAACACAGGAAGGGCTGTGACGGTGCTGGCAGGTGGGCTGGGCCACAGGAAGACGGGAGGCAATGCAGAGGTGTCTTGGAAATGTCACTGAAAGGCAAACAAAACACATCTGTGAGCCAATCGGCTTTGACCTCTGCACAGACAGGTCCCTTTCTTCTCATATCCACTACGGCCAGTGGTCTACAAAAATCCCTCTTCCAGGCCATCTGGGGCCATCCCTGGATGCCTCATCCGCAGATTATTTTTCTGTCCTGCTTCTGTGGTTGGAAGGCTCTCTCCCAATCTCTTGATTCAAGCTCTCCCAAGATCTGCCTTTCAATTCATCTTTCTTGGCTTGATCCAGTGCAGCCTTCAGGTGAGTAATGTTTCAGCTCCATCTTTGACCTTGGCACCCAGAGAAGGCATCCCAAGTTGGGCCTGGCATCTCTACTACTGCTTGTTATAAACAGAGATTCTGCACTAGACTGTGTGTGTGTTTGTGTGTGTGTGTGTGTGTGTGTGTGTGGCCGGGCGGAGAAGGATAAGTAATAAGAACACTCAACTGAGTTGGGAGAAAACACAGGTTGGAATATGAATAGCAGGGAACACTGGGGACTTGACCTGGACAAATCAAGACTATTTCCTCAGCCACGCTGGTTACTAGTAACTGGCAAAGGCTCTCAACCTGGCTGCACGTCACAATTACCTAGGAAGCCTGTGTAACACCCGAACGATTGGGCACCACCCCCAGGGAGTCTGACCCAATTTGTCTGGATTATATGACGTGGCCTCGGTACTTTTTGAAAGTTCTCCAACGGTCTTAATGTGCAACAGAGTTGCGAACCACAGAGTAGGGAAAAGCCCCAGAGCCTAATGGTTCCAAAGGTGGATTTTACAGTCAGCTTTAAGGTGACTTTCAGTTCTGGCTTTACACCCGAGAGCTCCGTGACCTTGGCCAACATGCCTCGGATGTCTGAGGCTCGCTTGGTTACAGAAGACACAGAAACAGCGCTGGCTTCCCGAGGCTGTGATAATGAGGCACTGTTTGCAAAGTGCTTAGCAAATACAGAACGAATTATGGCTGTTCTTACTACCAGCAGGTGTGAGGGAGAATGGGATGACCATTCATTATTTAACAGAATTTTAAATAATCTTATTTTAAAGTAACATATTAATCATCCACATAAAAAGCCGACTCTGTGAAAGGTGCACTCATTGAAAACGCTGTTTAACAAGTCATTTTGACGATGACAGGCACTGCAGTTGAAGTCCTTCAAGTGCAGTGACGGGTGGACACCTGGGAGGAGTAAGCTTCTCCCACTCACGGCAACCACGTGCTGGGAAGTAACGCAAGCTGACATGCTACCTGCCAGCCACGCGCCTGTGAGAGGGCACTGACCACCCTGGTAACACACACAGTCCACGTTCAGAACGCAGTGAAGTGCCTCTGTGGTTTTTCAAACTGGCAAAAACTTTCCTTAACAACCGCATGAAGAAATTTTGAATTTTATGCGCTGACGGTACGCTAGAAAATCGGTATGCAGTTCTTCGAGAAAAATTTAGTAGCATGTATCAAAAGCCTTAAAATACGGACATCCTTTGGCTCAACAATTTCACTTCTAGGGATTAATCCTAAAGGAAAAGAATCAGAGATCATGACAATTCATACACAATTATCTTTATTTTAATGCTATTTATAGTAGTAGGAAGGTTGGAAAACAACTTAAATGCCAATTAAAATATAAAAATAACTTATGGCGCATCTGCATAGCAGAATACTATACTATCATTTTAAAACCATGCTTTCCAAGATTACCAAATGACGTGGGGAAAGTGCCCACCAAAAACTGTAAGTAATGTGCATCAAAATTTTTTAAAATTTAAGGTGAAAATCCAAAACGTACTAGTGATTATCTTTAGGTGGTGGGATTGTGAGACTTCTGTATTTTTCCAAATTTCTTATAATAGGCCTGTATTGTTTTTATAATAAGAAATATATGTTCTAAAGCTTTTAAATATTACATTGTCAAAAGAAAGGAAAACAAAATAAGCACATTCCTTAAAAGAATTCTATTTTACTTAAGTTTATTTGTGTCTCTAGACCAATATTATAAGTAAATTCTATTCCAGATACTTGGGGACAATGAGAGAATCTCTTGCCAACAACACTGAATTGGTTCGAAAAATAAATTCCCCCTGAAGAAGTACTTTTGCCAAGAAAAGAGGAACAGGTGTGAGAGCATGTGTGAAGGACAGTAACAGGGATGTAAGTGTGAGGTGCTCCTGGGGCATCCAAGTGAGGATGCTCAGAGGCAGGAGAAAGTAAAGGGCTGCTGCTCCAGGGAGAGGTTGGGGCTGAAGACGTGGTTCTAGGAGTCGAGGGCTTCTCAGAATAAAAGCAAAGGGTGAAATGTGTTTACTCAAAATATACATGGAAAAGGAATAGATGGTCAAGTACCAAAATCTGGGGAAGACCTTGGGAAACGGCAATGGGAGAGGAAAAGGCAGCAGTGCTGGCAGCATATTTGTTAACCTCCTAAAACACCTCCATAAAAATAATTTACAAAACTAGGATGGTGAGACCAAGACCCACAGACAACATCTACAACACAACAGGTTGACAAGATGTTCCACAGAGTCCAGAAGTCCAAGCAGGTGCAAACCTCTGGCAGCTACAAGATCTGCATGGCATCAGCACC